AATTCCAAAGATCTGGTCGAAATTTTCGTTTAGTTGATTTTCTGCTTTCACATTTACAATCAAAAAATTCAAGAAATAATATTCGTTTAGAATATTTTAACATATCAAACTTTTCTTCCATATCATGTCTTTCAAACTAAATCACATATGATCTCTTAAAATCTATATTTCGAAATGATATAGCATTTGTAATCACATATAATTCATGAAATACTTTTCACTTAAGTGGAGAGTATTTTGAGAAATTAGTTCTTATATCTCGATTGATTAAAGACATATTTCTCTTAATATCTGGCTTGAAGAGCTCTGTATCAGTTATCAAATCCTGAGATTCGATGAAGATTTTACATGTTAATTCCCTTCCTTTTTATAAATAAATTGTCAGTATTAAAAAAAAATTTTAAGATTTTTTTTGTTTCTCTCGTAAATTAATATTTTTCTTATAATAATTAATTTTTAACAAATAAGCATAATTTTTAAATAATATACACAAACGATTACTATTTTCCTCTTGAAGTTTTATCAAATAATTATGTAACTGATTACAGACAATCCTCAAATAAATATCCTCTTGAGGATTATCAAACAATCCTTATGATGATATTTGTGATCGATCATAGATAATCTTCTTGAGGATTTTATAAACAATCCTCAAATAGATAAGTGTAACTAATCACAAACAATCCTCTTGAGGATCTATCAAATAGTAATACGTTAATTATTAAATCCTCTTGAGGATTCTTTAATAATTTTTTTATTCGATATTTCTTTAATAAATTTATTTTATTTAAATATATATTAAAATATTTAGACACATAATTTAATATAAATAATCATATTTTATTTTTTTTATTTACAAAAAAAAAAATGCAAAATAATTATGTTTAAAAAAAATAATCACAAAATCTGGGATCAATATAGCATCAGTCCTAACAATTCTCATATTTGTAAGGTCATAGATTGTAAACATGTTTATGAATATCCATTTGATGAAAATGTTTTAAAAAATCATTATATGAAAAAACATTTGAAAATATGGGAATCTATTAAAGAAAGTAAGAGAGGACGTAAAGCTAGATTTGAAGAAAAGAAAAATTTTTTGATTCAACAAGAAAGAAAAAAAATTTTTTCTGTAGCTCAAGAATTAAATAATAAATTAAATAATTCTATGTCTCAACTTTTAAATAATGAATTAAATAATTCTATTCAAGAAATAGAACTCCCTCTTGAATCTTGTAATGATAACAACATTCATTCAGAAATTGTTTCAGAAAAAAATAATCAAAAAAAAACATCTTTTTGCATTGAATTTGAAGGTGATGAAAAAGTTGAGCTTCAAATTAGTAATTTTCCTCCGATCAAAGCTAGTAGAGGCTTTAAACTAAATTTTATAAATAAATAAATAAATTGGGTTTATATTATGTATTATAATATGGTAAAAATATTTAGAATTTTTCCTTTAAAATAGGTTTTTTTATTTTAAATATTTATATGAATTTATGTTGAATTTTTTTTATTCGATATTTCTTTAAAAATTAATAAATAAATATTTTATTTTATTTAAATATTTGATATTATATAATAAATACAAAAGTTATAGAAAAATTTAAAAAAAATTTTGTTCGTCTAAGTGGTATAACTATTTGTTTAAACTATTAAACAAATATTTATACCACGTAGATAAACAAAAAATAAATCTTTGACAATGTATTTGTCAAATTCAAGATTATATGCCTTTTTAATTTTAGGCATAAAATTTAGCTAAAGAATTTAAAAATCTAATCTACTGTTTTTAAATTATAAAAAAATGAAAATAAAATCATTAAAAGATTATAATATTTTCATTTGAAACCCAACTCAGAACTCTAATTCCACTAAGATAACAACCTTAATATCAGGAAAAAGGTCTTTTAATAGTGCTGATTTCTCAATTCAATCTTTTGTGTATTCTTAAAATCTCAAATATACTAAAGATAAGTTTCCAAGTAAATTTCGGGTATGTAAAATTACATTTTAAAAATATTTAATAAAAAATTCAAGGTATTTTAAAGTTTCTCAAATTCTTGAGAATGTATAGATTCAATATCTGAATCTATACTGAATAAATTTTCTAAGTGAATTTAATTTCACTAAAGAAATAAAATTGAAGTTTTTTAAAACTCCAAAAAAATTAATTTTGTACCAATAAGTTCACTAGTTCATATTAATAAATAAATCGCTCAGGAAAACGTTCATATAAAAAGTTCCAGTAATGATTATGAATTACTGAAACTATAATTATAATTGTGATTGCAATAATTAATATATATATTGCAATAGTGATTATCCAAAAGAAAGTTTTTGAATAAATGATTTTAATGATGAATTGGTGAATATAAGAGTTGTATTCACCTAATGAGAGGTTTGTTAGAAACAAACCTAAGAGAGAAAGAACAATAGCAATAAAGAAAATGATTTTTGGAAACATTTTTAAAAAGGTAATTGATAAAAATTCAAAGAAGTTAAGGTAGTTTTGATTTCAAGATTTTAAAACGAATAAATCGTAAGGTTTTAGTTTCATTTCAAATTCTTTTATCATTAAAAAAAATCTATTAGAACATTTTTAGTCTAATTGAAAATGTACAAATTTTTTTCGATAAGAAATAAGCTTGCATTATCAGACAATCTGTTTACTGAATATATCTAAATAAAGTAATAAGGCTGTCATTAAACTAAATTTAGTTATATTTCAAAGTACTTAGTTTTTATCATAAAAGATACTCAGGTACTAAGATTTGATTGGTTAGATTTCTGAGAATTTTTCACACTTTGAATGAACTCTACAAAAATCTCTGTGAATTTTTCACGCTTTGAATGAACTCTACAAAAAATTCTGTGAATTTTTCACACTTTGAATGAACTCTACAAAAAACTCTGTGAATTTTTCACGCTTTGAATGAACTCTACAAAAAACTTTGTGAATTTTTTATGCTTTGAATGAACTCTTATAATATTATAATGAATATGTTTATTATAAAAATTATTATTGTTTTAAAAAATAAAAATATTTATTTGAAATTTAAAATACATTTTCCATTAATCTTAATATTAATATCATTAAAAATTAAATCGATACTACTATTCTTTTCTAGCACAATACTTTTAAATAATATTTCTCTTTCAATTCTTGGTCTTTTAATTTCTCTTTCAACAACTTCGCTTTCATCAGGTTGCAACCTAATTCTATTTCCAATAACTCTTTCACCTTCTTCAACTTCACTATGTAATCTAATCTGTCCACTTGCAATAACCTCTTCAATTTCATAATCATCTTCAACTTGAACTGAAGGATAATAATTCATGATAGTATTCTGTTCAATTCTTGTTTTTTGATTTTTTTCCGTTTTCTTTTCTTTTTCTTTTTCTAAGATTTTTTGATATTCATAGTAATGATGTTTTTCAAAATGTTTTTTAAGATTTGTAACTTGAGCATTTAATTCATAGGATACTTCACAGATATTACAAATGAGTCGAGTATTAATTCGATTAGAATGAAAATAATTTCTAATTTCATGTGTATTTTTCATTTTGTGAATTTAAAGAACCTATAATATTTATTTTGATATTTATTAGAAATTATATTATAAATTATTATATATTGTTTTGTTATATTTAATATTCTTCGTAAGGATTTATTAAATAAATAGAAATTGATAATCGATCATGAATATTCTTATGAGGATTTCCTCTTGAGGATTTATCAAAACAATCTTAAAATAAAAATTGATGATCGATCACAAATATCCACATGAGGATTTCCTCTTGAGGATTTATCAAAACAATCTTAAAATGAAAATTGATGATTGATTATGAATATCCTTATGAAGATTTCCTCATGAATTATATTACATAAATAATAATATTAAAGAAATGTTCAACGAAACTAATCAAATTAAAAAATTTCAAAATGAAAAAAATTAATTCTCATAGAATTTGGGAATATTTTAATTCTGTTTCTAATAATAAAATTGAATGTTCAATCTGTAAAAGAAAATACAAAAATTCTTCACCAAATACGATTAAAAGACATTTTATCACAAAACATTCTAACGAATGGAAAAAAATCTGTAACAAGAAAATGATAACTAAAGAAACAAAAATTAATGAAAAAAGAAGAATAAGATTAATTTACAGTGGTTCTTTTGATAAAATTGATTTCAAAAAAATCAAAGTTTTTTACGATTAAATTTGTTTGTTAAAATTGTTTTTTTTATTTTTTAAATAAAGTTTTTTTTTAATTTTCGAAACCGTGAAAAAAGTTCAATTCAATTTTTTCAAAATGTAAAAATAGGTCTTTTTTGATTTTGAAACCATAAAAATGTCCTAAATTAATTTATGACATCCTAATTGAATTTAGGACCAAGTCATTTTCTGATTTTGAACGTCCTAAATTAATTTATGACATCCTAATTGAATTTAGGACCAAGTCATTTTC